GCTGCCTAACGCGGCCTCTCCCGGGATGCGGGACCTTCACGGGATGACCCCCGCCGTGTCCTCCCTCATGGGACCGATGACACAGGGGAGGTTCCCCGAGGCTTTTGTGTCCTGTCCCCGGTTTCGTCTCTCAGCTCGGACACCGGCGGAGGAGCTCTCGTTTCCCCCCCAGGCACCAGGGAGGTTTCGGTAGCGCGGGTCCAGCCCCCTCCCCGCCCCGAGGGTGAGGGACGCGCTCGGGACTACTTTGCGTGAAACAGCCTGGAAGTTTGCTTCTCTCCTCGACGCCTTTCCCCGCCCCGGGGCCATCCCCCGCTTGCCCGGGGACGCTCCGCGGGGCTTGGCCGCGGGGGAGCGGCGGGGCCGCCCTCTCCCGGGAGCGGCCGCCGCAGCCTCGGTGAGAAGGTTCCACCTCGAGGGCGCTGCCCGCAACTGCACCCGGGACCCGCGCCCGGCACTAGGGGGGGGCTCCCAACTCCGGGTGTGAGCGGGTTCCTCGGGCTCCTGACACGGACCGGGCCTCTCCCACCTGCCCATTTCAGATCACTCGAACTGCTGTCCTTAGCAGCAACTGCTCTTTTGCTTTGCTTTGCCCAGAGCTGTCTGCCTGACCTCAAACTTCAGTGCTGGGAAGAAGGAAGAATTCCAAATGTGCGCTGGGATATCCAGCCAGGGCTTCCATGATTGTCTTTGTCATACGGTACTGCTTGGATAGGTCCTTGCAAGCCACAGGGCTTAGACAATACCTGATGTGTCTTTCAAGCCTGTAGCTTCTCTTTCGGAGATGACCTTTTACTATTAGAAAATGACACTGGGAAATTGGCCAGGTGGTAGACAGACTATATGAAGTCCTGTTTGCATTTGTGTTTTTTTTCTCAAAACCTTCCATGAAAGAATCATAATAGAATCATAGAATCATAGAATTGTCCGGGCCAGAAGGGACCTCCAAAGGTCATCTAGTCCAACCTCCCCGCAGTCAGCAGGGACACCCCCAACTAGACCAGGTTGCCCAGGGCCTCATCAAGCCTCACCTTGAATATCTCCAGGGAAGGGGCCTCAACCACCTTCCTGGGCAAGCTGGTCCAGTTCTCCACCACCCTCACAGTAAAGAACTTTCTCCTAATCTCCAATCTAAATCTGTTCCCCTCCTGCTTAAAACCATTGCCCCTCGTCCTATCACTGCAGGCCTTTGTAAACAGGCTCTCCCCAGCCTTCCTGTTGGCCCCCTACCAAGGAGCTCTGATTTCAGTGATCTTATTATAGAAATCTGGAATATAGTCCCACCGGTTAAATCCTGATGTTCAACCATGACCAAAATTCCATTTTAAAGCCAAGATCCTCCTTAACCCCTATCAGGAAAGTAAGCCACGCATGAGTTATCAGTAGTGTTACATAGACCCATTTCCAACCTCATTTACACTCTGTAGCTCCCGCAGCTCAACAGACAGTTCAGCAAAGCAAAACCAAGTGACGTTCTGAGGGCACAGCTGATGCTTGAATTTTTGTGTAAATCTTGCAGCTGGAGGTGCAGGCTGAGGTCAAAAGATTGGGATAAGAAAACCTCCAATGCGTTCCCTGCTTGGCCACCAACCTGAAGGCAACCTGTTGCCTCGCCCTATCCCTCCCAGCCACATCTTTTCTGGAGCACACTTTGGAGGAACATTGGGACTTTATCTTATGATGTAAGTTCACAGTGAGTGGTACAATGACTTTTAGGTGGGAGTATAATAAATAAATGCATAACCAAAGAGATGCGTACTGTGTTTTGACTAAATGCAAGCAGAGAAAGTAAACTGAGATGGGGTGGGGATGGGAGAGGTGGGCAGACAGGGGAGAAAAGGAAGAAGCTTTACATGAAAATGGTCGTTTGGTGAGAATAGATGACACAAAAGAGAGGCAAAATACATCCATCATGCTTTGAGCAGGATTCCTTCTGATCGAGCCCAATGGCAGCCAATGTCAGTTTGTACAGAACAGTAATGTCAGGACTGGTGACAAACACTATCTGCACAACCAACTGGGCAGGGAAGACATTCTGTTCTGGAGACAGAGCTGTCATAAAGGAGCTCTTAAATGATATTTTTTCGAGTGAGAAGTTCTGATTCTCACAGGAAGCATCTTACATGTTAGGAGATAGGCATAGACTAAAAGCCATACTAAATGTAAGGACCACAGAGAAGTGGCCTGAGAGGCTTCAGTTTTAATTACTGCCTAGAATAAATGCTTGCTCTAAACATCTCTTTAAAGCCAAGCCCAAAGAAATGCATCAGTTCACCTCTGTGCCTCAATTTTTCCTACCCAGAAGACATTGAAACCTTTGTGTATCCAAGCAGTGATTTTGGCAGAGCAGTTCATGTTCCAGCAGCACTATTCCACAACCGCACTCACCAGTACAGTTCTTAATGACATTCAAATGGGGCTGATTTTTTGTAACTTTGAAACAGTGTGAAGTAAGACATTCTGAGTTCTGGGTGGGTTTTTTTATTGCCATCTAAGGGATAGAAATGCAACTTTCAGAGTTATTCAAACATGAGAATTAAACCTACTGAGGCAATAAACCCCTTGAATAATCACTTTGAGGTGAAGGTCTACTTATTAATAGCCATCAAGGAATACAGAGCCATGAAGTCCATGATTTTCATTAAACTGATAGTGGATACTGGGTTCTGAGTTATATTTTGGAACATGGGTGCTGGCATTTTTCAAGAAAACATAATCACTAAAAAAAGAACCTGACACTTGTGTGTTTTGTGTGCACTTCTCTAAGACTAATAATTCTTTACAGAATTTATTGCATGGTGAAAAAAATAAAAGGTGGAGAAAAGGCTTTTCACAGTAGTAACTATGACAAAAAGCATTATCTGGAAGCCAAGAAAGTGTGCAACCATCTGTAAAATAGAACATACCTTTGGAAGGCCCTGACTGTGACTTATTTCAAATAAACTTTTCAGCAGTGAACAGGAGATGTCAGAGCCTAAATCACAAAAAGGAAGATAGCCATCACGTAGGAAAAGTAGCACGGTTTCCAGGGAAGATATTTTCAGAATCAGAGTATTTTCAGTGTCTAATTTCCAAATGTGTCTAACAAACTCCAGTATGTTGGAAGATTTTAGCAGTTGGAAACTATCCCTCTGCCAGCAGGAGCAACACAAGAACACCATTCTGCAAGTGGGTTTTTGAATCTTGACTTTGAAGGGGCAGCAGGAGCTGGCTGTGCTGCAGGGGAGGGCAGTCCAGGAGCCAAGGTGGGCTGCATGGCAGGCAGGGGCAGTGTCCTTCACAACAGATACAGTCCCACAGCAGTTGAACAACAGAGCAGAGCAGGTCTGGTGGCAGTAACTGGGGCCACCACATCCCAGTGACCGCTAGACAAGTTGCAGTGGTGAGGCAAGTCCGAGGTCAAGCCAGGAAGCCAAGCTGGAGGATCAGGATCTTCATCAGAGAGGTACATGTCGAGGCACAGGCATGGCTGCAGCAGCTCAGGAAAGGCCAAAGAAGGAGCACCAGAGGTTAAAAAAGCTCCCGAGTGATGCTGGGGAGCCCAAATGAGATTTCTTACAGCTCTCTCATGAGCCTGTCTTCTCAGCAGCCTGGCCCAGGGACACACCGTGTCAGAGCTGGGCTTGATCACAGGCTGCCAAACCCATAGGAGCAGGGCAGGGCTCCTGGCCCTCATACTGGTCGAAGTCTGTGTCATATTCCCTTTTTCTGCACAGAGCCAGTGGATAACAGTGGCACATCTGTCCTCAACGCACAGTGTAAGAATATGTCTCTCAGTGTGATTGGAATCTGAAGGGGACCCATCTGGAAGTTAGAAATGGTGGACTCACACTAAATTTAAGTGAAGGATACAGTATATTTATGAATCAAATACAGTGTTTCCAAAACACAAGTGGATGATGAGTCTGCAAAATCCTCTCCCACGCATGTCAGAACATGGAAGTCAGCAGAGACAGTTGTGAAGCAACATAATATTTGCTAAAGAGAAGAGAGACTCAATCCTAATTAATTAAAAATTGCAACACCCACAGAGGGAATTAAGCATTGTTATACCTTTATAGTGGGGACAGTCTCCACTAGCATGTCCTCTAGTATAATGGCTGTGGGGTTTTATATCTATATTTAATAAAATATCTATATAGGTACTAAGTTCTGCAGCTTCTAAAACCTTAGTCTTTCATTTTGTCCTTCACTAAAGGAAAAATGAAACCGTGTTTAAGAGTGCCTTTCATTCTAAGCCACCTTACAAAAACTGATAAAAAGCTATATATAGTGATTACTTCACCAGCCTTTGAAATGCTGACATCTTTGAGGTGAGGTACAAAAAAGGTTTATAAATCAGAAAGTAAAGCCACATTACCTTTTCAACATGTGAGCCATAACCTTTCCTGTTAAACAACAGCAGATGGACACAGCTATTTTCCATGAAAAAAATCTTTGCATTTATTTACCCTTCCAAAGAAGTTATTTGCATACAATGTCATTTGCCAAACGACAAGTGGAGCTGATCATGCTCTGCCTTGTCCCAGCCAC